ATTCATGATGTTGTGAAGTATGTTAGAAGTTCTCCTCAAAGAGAGCAACGTTTCAAGTCATGTGTAGAAAAGGAGAGGATTCATTGTCACAACCCGAACCCGACCCTATGGTTTAAGGCCATAACCGACCAGTAATTGCGAAATTATCTACAGCCTCAAATCAATTAAAACAAAATTCATCAGAGTAAAGGGGCCAAACGGAAGCAAATTAAAACTTTGTCCATAGAGTTGTGCTTATATGCACACCATAACATTCCAAACATTTGTATGTTAATAACTCACATCGAAATATGTACTAACACAAAACACTGTACATACAGGATCATACAAGTTAAAGTCAGTCGAACCCAAGACTTATATACAAAAATAGTCCAATGCTTTCTCCAACATAACAAAACTATAAACAAAGGACAAAAGCGAAGACAGTCTCGTGCGTGAGACGTTTGGGTTGACTCCTCAAAACTTTAACTTTTTCTCACATACTTCACCGAGGCAGGGTTTGGACATCTCTTGGCTCACCTACATACACATGAATGAGTGGGCGAAAGCCCAGTGAATAATATCAAATAAAGTGGATACATAAGCAATCTTTGAAACAGTTACAGTAGACGGCCTTTGGCGCAATCACTTAGATCAATCGGCCTTCAGCCTAATCATTCATATCAATCGACCTTCGGCCCAATCATTCATGTCAATCGGCCTTCGGTCTAATCATTCATGTCAATCGGCCTTCGCCCAATCATTCACGTCAATCGGCCTTCGGCCCAATCATTTATATCAATCGGCCTTCGGCCCAATCATTCTTATCAATCGGCCTTCGCCCAATCATTCTTATCAAAATGGCCTCTGGCCCATTCATTTAGTATAACAACCATTGTCCACCAAACGAATCAATGAACTTATAAAACTTACATAGAAGTAAGCAATTGGACAACAACATATTTCGGATATTACTCACAGTGATCGGCTTGTGGATTTGCCCTGGAGCTTGATCCTACACATCATATAGCAAATAAGGGTCATAACCAATTCAATCCGTTCTTTAATTCACACATTCCTCTTTAGGCTCCATTCTTATCTCTTTAACTCAATTACAATGCTCAATGCATGCCTAAGAGTACTTAGAAGTGAATGAGGACGGAGAACGAAACTCAGAATGCATAAACAAAATTTCAGAAAACAGGGTCTCCGCTCGAGCGTGGACTTCCTCGCTCGAGCGGACCCATGAGGTCTGCCAAAGTTCTGGTTATGTCATTTTTACGCTCGAGCGTGTATTCTGGCGCTCGAGCGGAAGTCTATCCTACATAGCTCACCACTCGAGCGTGGACTTCCCCGCTCGAGTGGACATCATGCCTGCACAAAAATACTGGGAGCACGAAATTCACGCTCGAGCGTCGGTTTCCCCGCTCGAGCAAACATCAAATTTCTAGAAAATCCAGAATGTGTTCTTGAGCTCCAACTTCGAATTCAAAGGCTCCAAATGCATGATTTTGACTCAAACTTCATATATATGTGTGCTAACATGATACAAACACTAAATTACAACATTTTGAAGCTCAATTTCATAAATCAAATCCATGCATGGCTCATTTTCCACCAAATTCATCACTAACATAACAACTTCATGCATTCAAAGCTTCTACTCCCATGGATTGTACATGCATGTGACATATAACCCTCATTCTCACCCCATATGATGAAAAGATAGTCAAATACATGGATTTCAACCAAGATTCAACACGAGTCATGTAATTCAAGCTCAATTATGCAAATTCAAGACAATTATATACATGTATGTATACATTGACCTTCAATTCAACATAAAAAACTCAATTCCACTTCAATCCTTACTCTTGATCATTAATCCACCTTGAATACACAAAATTACAGATTGAGCTCATGGATTTACTTACCTAGAGGCTCAATTCTTCCAATCTATAGCAAATTCTTGAGTAATCTTCCAAAATCTCCAAGCCTCAAGACTAAAACTTCAATCTCCTACACTCTCTCTCTCTCTATGGCCTGCCCTCCCTTCTTTCCTTTGAGTTTATGATCAGCCAAAATAGACTAAAAGAGGGAATTTGAGGGTGTAGTGACTCAATACAACTAATCCCACTAAGTCCAATTTAGTAATAATAAATAATAAGGCACTAATTCATCAATTAAATTAATTTAATCTGATTTGAATAGATTTTCAATTAAATTTCACCGTAGACTCTAAAAATTATGCCAATCACGATGGCGTAATCAATTTCAGGTTCTGTGGCCGATAAGACCTTCAATTTAATTTCCAAAGCAGATAATCAAACAGATATTCCTACGGTGAACAGATAGAAATTCAAAATCACATTTTTTCACATAATGGCACACAAAATCATATTAAACACATAATCATACTCATATTAAGGACCAATTAGCATATTACGGAACAGGAATATCACATTAATCATAAGCATTCTTTGTGTTTAGATGTTCAAACACAGTGGAACTCTACTTTTCTCATGTTAAATACTGCACTCAAGTTTCAAAAAACTTTTGAAAGATTAGAAGATGAGGATCCACAATTTTGCTTAGAACTTAATGATATACCTCCTACCACCAAAGATTAGGATGATCCTAGGTATTTTACTTCATTTTTAGAAAAATTCTATGAAGCCACTGTTCATTTGTCTGGTTCTTTGTACGTTACTTCTGTTATGTATTTTACCGAAGTTTGTGCAATTGAAGGTTTCTTATCTGAATGCGCAAAGAGTTTGGATCCTTCTTTAAGTGTAATGGCTATGAAAATGAAGAGCAAGTTTGATAAGTATTGGGAAAAAATTGAAAAAGTGAACATGTTGTTGTTGATTTCTGTTGTGTTAGATCCCCGTTGTAAGTTGAGATATGTTAGTTTTTGTTACTTTGAATTTCATAAAGCTGCCACTGTGACTAAGTTTACAAAAAAGGTAAGAGAGGCATTAAATCAAATTTATGATGAGTATCACAAGCTTGAATTTGGAATGTGTTCTTCTTCTAACAAAACTTGTATTGAAGTTGATCAACCAATTAGTGGAGCAAGTAAACAGTTAGTGTCTCTCAAATCAAAGTTTCAAAAACATTTGGCACAAGAAGAATGTGGTGGAAAGTCAGAAGTGGATAAATATTTGGAAGATGCTTATGAAAAGGAAGGCCCAAACTCACATTTTGGAATTTTGAATTGGTGGAAGGTGAATTCCTCTAGATATAAAATTCTTTCTCAAGTTGCCCGGGATATTTTGGCCATTCTCGTATCCACTATTGCCTCAGATGCTACCTTTAGTACAGGAGGTCGTGTCATTGACCAATTTCGTAGTTCTCTTACTCCCAAGCTTGTAGAATGCTTGATTTGTTTGCAGGATTGGTTGCGTGCTTCACCACTTCCACTTGAAGTGGAAGAAAATATTGCGGACATTGAAGAACTCGAACAAGGTAATATTGACTTGGTATTTTGTTATGAAATTTATTTTCATGTATTGTGTACTTCAGTTTGCAATTTCAGCTCTAAATGTTGTGTCTCTGAATGTGATTACTGAGTAATTGAGAATGATTTGGCTCTTGGAAAACTAGAAAAGACCACTGTTGCTGGTTTTGTTGCTGGTTGCTGTTAATGTTGCTGGTTGATGTTAATGTTTCCATTTTGTTGCTGCTGGAAACTTGGAATGCTCTCTTTTGTAAACTTAGGAATGCTCTCTTTTGACTGCTGTATTTACATCCATATTGTTTAACTTGTCTTATGTTTTTGTTGTTTTTTATTTGAAAAAGTTTCTATTGACTGTCTACAATGTTTAGAATGTTTTTAAATGCTTTTGGATGATTGGATGATTTCAAATTTCAATGGTATATAATAGTTATTATCATATTAAGTTTTATTTTTATTAATTGGTTTTTTGTAATTTTAATGATATTAGAATGATATAGATATGTAATGTTGAATAGTGCCTTAATATTATTCACTGTGTTTGGTTTGAGTTTTCTGGATTAAGTTTTTTGAAAATTGAGTTTTTTTATTTTCGTATTTTTTTATTTTTAGTGAATATTTTTAAAATTTTAAACATTTTTTTTACTTTTTTAGATGCACCTTACTTAGATGTGTCTAAAAAGTAAAAAAATTGTGAAAAAATATTTTAAAAAATTAAGAAATACATAAAAATACAAAAAATGTACTAAATTCTTGTATTTTTTTTTGTATTTTTGGTATTTTGTGAATTTTTAAAAGATTTTTTTTACATTTTTTTTACTTTTTAGGTGTATTTATGTTAGGTGTATCTAAAAAGTAAAAAATTTGCATAAAATATTGAAAAAATTCAGTAAAAACAAAAAAAACACGGAAAATAAGAGTGTAGAATTTTCTGAAAATTGTTTTTAAAAAATGGAAACCAAGCAAAGTGAATTAGTTTTTATCATGGATTAAATATAATCAATTTGAGTAATTATTTTGTTAATTAACAATTTATTCTTATACATAGAAATTTTTTGAACCGTGAACCAAACCGCAACCGAACCGTTGTTTCGGTTTGGTTCTGATATGATTTTACAAATGTAATGGTTTGGTCTGGTTTTCAAAATTCCAGAACCCTTAAGATCAGGTTGATTATTGAATTTTCTTAGAAACGAACCAATCTGGATCGTGTACACCCCTATATCCTAATTTAGATGAAATTTGACTAATCAAAGGGCATTACTCAAATTCTGTGATTTTATAGAACAAGGGATACCAGTGCAATTTTAGAAGTTCACAGGGTTGTGAGTGTAAACTAATCTAAAGAAAAACATGAAAAACAGACTATTTTATGAGAAAAGTTAGGGATCATGAAATTTTTTTCATGAAAATGATCATAAAAGAATTATGATCATTAGATTATCTTGATTAGTGTGTGGTGGTTTATTCTAAGTGTAATCCAAAGATTACAAACTTTTCATAATTATTTTAATGAAAAGTTTTTCATATTAAGTACCATGACTGCTATTTTATTCGTACATTTCCTCTTTACCAAACTCTCTCTCTCTCTCTCTCTTCGAATCTTTAGAAGATTTCTCAAAAATATCTCCTAACGACACACACTCTCACCCTCTCTCTCTCTCTCTCTCTCTGACTTTTGATCAAAACAAAAAACTGAAGCAGTTGTAATGAATTGAAAATGAAACCCTAGAGATGTGAAGATGGGCGAAGAGGTGAGGATGAGTGATTACGATGGCGGCGGTGGCAGAGACGACAACCGAGTCTCAGAGTGGGAGGTAGGGCTACCGACCGGCGACGATCTGACACCGTTATCTCATCCGTTGATCCCGCCGGAGCTAGCGTCGGCGTTCAGCATATCGCCTGAATCCTCCCGGAACGCGATGGATGTGAATTTGGCGTCGCAGAACACGCTCGGGCAGTTACAAGCCATTTCTTCGTCGAATAATTTCAATTTGAAGTCGCTTAATCAGGTGAGGACTATGGAATTGGAAGAAGACGAGGCGGATCTGATGAAGGAGGGGTCGGAATCGAGGAAGCTGAGGAGGATTGATAGCGGCGGAGCTGAGGAGGAGGAGGAAAACGGAAACGATGATCTGTCGGCGGCGAAGATGGCGGTGAAGAGGCCGCGGCTGGTGTGGACGGCGCTGCTGCACAAGAGGTTTGTTGACGTTGTTGCGCATTTAGGTATAAAAAATGCTGTGCCGAAGACGATCATGCTGTTGATGAATGTGGAGGGATTGACTCGCGAGAATGTGGCCAGTCATCTTCAGAAGTATCGATTGTATTTGAAGAGGATGCAAGGGTTGTCGAACGAAGGTCCTTCGTCGTCCGATCATCTGTTCGCGTCTACGCCTGTGCCGCAGAGCCTACAGGAGACCGGAGGAGGGGGGAGTTTACATGGGAATGGGCGGCATGTACAGATGCCGATTCCAATGCCTTACCCGCAGCAGATGATGCATACGCAGATGATGCATATGCCGAGTCCTTATCAAGGATTTGAGTCGCATCCGTACAATGTGGTGCAGCAGAGAGATTGGTATCAGCATGTTACGCCCAATGATAAATAACGAAAAGGTGAGTTTCTTAGCCTAAAGGTGTTAGGTAATTTTATTTCCACGCACCAATTTCGCTCAGTGCACACATTTGATGAATACCTTGTCTTTAGTTTCAAAACTCTAATTTTTCTTCCATCCGCCCACCCCTCCTTCGTCACCGTTGTCGCCACTCTCAGCGCATCTCCTTCCATCCTAGTGTGGTGTCAACCTCGAAGTGGGTTTGTGGTGGGGAACTTGTGGGAGGGTCGGTGGCGGGAGGGGATGGCGGAAGAGAGAGGTGGCGTTGGTGATTGAGGGTGTTTGTGGTGTTTTAGAGTTAGGATTTGGTAGAAGAAAAAAAAGGTCACCCATGTTTGTTTTCACTTTTTTGAAAACACTTTTTAAGAAGATTCTATTTTTTTTTTTTCCATATTTTTTTGGTTTTATTAATTTTTTTAATATTTTAAATAAATTTTTTTACCTAACATAAATACACTTAAAAAGTATAATTTTAGTATATTTAAAAAATTCACTAAATACCAAAATATAAAAAAATATGAAAATTCAGTATATTTTATATATTTTGGTGTATTTATTAATTTTTTAAAAATATTTTTTTATAAATATTTTACTTTTTAGATACATCTAAGTAAGGTGCATCTAAAAAAATAAAAAAAATACTTAAAATTTTAAAAATATTCACTAAAAAAAACACACACACACATACACAAAAAACAAAAACACTCAAGTTGCGTTTGATAGAACTTTAGAATTATGATTTGAGAACAGAGTTGTATTTTGAGTTTGTGAGTTTTGAAATTATGATTTGAAAAGAGAAAATTTGTTTGGTTATGAGTTTTGAAAAGATTTTTAAATTGAGTTTTGAATTTTTTATATAACATATAAAATGAAAAAAATTGTTTAGCTGTGAGTTTTGAAAAGAATTTTCAAAACTTAATTAAAAACTTATATAACTCATAACCAAACACATAATTCAAAACTTTATTCAAAATTCATAACCAAATTCCATCCAAAAATTTAATTCAAAAAAATAATTTATCATTTTGGTCTAAAAAAATTATTTTGCATGTTTAAAAAATATCAAAAACAAATATAATTTTTTTTTCCCTCCCAAATAATAGGTAGCGATTGGCAATTGCAAAAAAAAAAAAAAAAACATTGTTTCGGTCAATTGGCCTGATGTCCTGGGGGACGTCCGGGAGGATGATCGGATAGATTCAAAATTAAAAAATTCCTCTACTTTTCAGAATGGAGAAGACGAAACGTGAAAGAGAAATATGTCTTGAAAACTCCATCCAAACATGAAAGGGAAATATGTTTTGAAATGTGTGGTGGAATCACATTTTCAAAACTCCATCCAAATGAAGGGTGCAAACGGAGAGGTGGAATCACATTTTCAAAACTGCATCAAAAACAGCCTCTGTTTTTAGAAAATTGAAACTAAACATACTGTATTGGTATTTTAGGACAAAATTGCATGGTGTCAAATCACGAATTGAATAGTGAATTGTATTTCTAAAAAATTGAATCATAAATCAAATCAAATCGTAAATTGTAAAATTCATAGATATTTTTTTTAATAAAAAATATTTATACATATTTATATACATATAAAATCACAAATAAAGTGCTTAAAATGAAAAAAAAATAACAATCAATAAAATAATAAATAATAAACTAGACAATAATGACAAGTGAGAACCATTAATAGTGAATAAAGAATCAAAATTAATCAAATAAGGACAAATATATAATTTATATAAAATATTATATATTTTATATGTATTATATATATATATATATGCATATATTAAAGGAGGATAGTGGTGTGGAAGCTTACAGCAACATTAAACAAATACTCATTACTTTAATGTTTTCTCACTCACAAGAAGACCTCACAAGAAGACTTTATGGTAAAAAAAAGCTAACTCACAAATTGATTTTTTGAGTACTGAGAGAGAGAGAAGAGAGAGTAGATTGAGCAGTGAGACCGGCAATGGGTAGAAGAAGACAATTCCTAACTATTTCTTTACATACCTTCAAATTTCTCACTGGCAGATTCGAAAATCCTCTTCTTTGAACAGGTTTGTCTCCTTTCTTTGATTCATCTCTCTCTCAGTCAAGCCCTAGCTTTAGTTTTTCATTTGTTCTTCGAATGATTTTTTCTATTTATCATTCCTTTTTCTTTTTTCTTTTTCCTTCTTTTATTTTATTTTTTTTTTGGATTGAAAGGGGTCAAACAACGTCGTTTAACAGATTTGGACAGGAGGGGAAAAAAAATGAAATTCGAATTGTGAGTATTGTACGTATCGGTGATTCACATCGATTCCTACTATTCTTACTTTGAATCGCACGATTCCTTAAATTTACGATTCAAGTACTCGATTCGAATCGTTCTATGAAAAAATTATATCGAATCATATGAATCGTATCGCGAATCGTACGATTTAGACAACCATGCAAAATTGTATTAAGGAAAAATTTCATTAAGTGTGTGAACTGAGTAGAATTGGTGTGTGAAAATAGAATTATGCTAATTGTTTGTATTATTGGCATTAATGTTGTTTGCTTGCTGATTACAATTAGTAATACAGGATTGATATTAGGCTCAAATAAGTTGGAATTGTGACCTGGTGATTCACAATTTGGATTTTATTTAGCATAATAATTTTGTATTCAAACCTAATATTGGCAGCTCAATTCTATTTACAGTGTTAGGATTGGGTGATTTTTTGAGAAATGATAAGAAATGAAGAGAAAGAGAATTGTCTTTTGGTTTATAAATTGGGTGAGAATGTGAGAATAATATTAATATAGTATATATTATGTGAATGTTGTTCTCACATAAAAAATGATGAGATATTGGTTATATAATTTTCATAATACTAAGATTGCCCATTAAAATAAAAAGGAAGAAAAAAAAAATTCACACTCATGGTTGTCTGAATCGTACGATTCGATACAATTTTTTCATAGAACAATTCGAATCGAGTACTTAAATCGTAAATTTCAAGGAATCGTGCGATTGGAAGTAAGAATTGTAGGAATCGATGTAAATCGCCGATACGTACGATACTCACGATTCAAAGTTCAATTTTTTTTCTCCTGCCCAAATTTGTTAGCCGACGTCGTTTGACCTCTTTAATTCAAAAAGAAAAAAAAAGAAAAAAAAAAGGAATGAAAAATAAAAGAAATCATTCGAAGAATAGATGAAAAACTCAACCTAGGGCTCGACTAAGAGAGAGACGAATCAAAGAAATGAGACAAACCTGTTCAAAGAAGAGGATTTTCGAATTTACCAGTGAGAAATATGAAGGTATGTAAAGAAATAGCTAGGAATTTTCTTCTTTTATCCATTGTCGGTCTCACTGCTCAGTTTTCTGTCTCTCTTCTCTCTCTTGGTACTCAAAAAATCAATCGTGGGTTAGCTTTTCTTTACCATAAAGTCTCATTGTGGGTGAGAAAATATTAAAGTAATAAGTATTTGTTTAATATTGTTGTAAGGCTCCACACCACTATCCTCCTTTAATATATACACATATATATATAATATAATATTTTATATAAATTATATTTATAATTTATATAAAATATTATATAAATACCAAAAGGGGAAGCAGCGCAGATATGCAGAAGATAGAGAAGGAAATACAGACACAATGATGGAATACACACAAAATACAATTATCCAAAATATACTTTTAGTCAAAATAACTTACAATTGTTTAATCGGAAGAACTGCAAATAGTTGCTTCAGCATACATAACTTAAAAATAGTTTAAACAAGGGTTATACAGTAGAGAAAGGGTTCTCACTCAGAGTGGCCTATTTCCCTCTTTTTCTTAACCTACCTACAAATGTCTTAACCATTACAATTTATAACAAAGAAAATTAACTATGCAGCTTGTGACTAGGAGAGCAGCTGGCAGCATATGGGCAAAAGCAGACTGTCGAATGCTTTCGGTTGATTGACTGAAAGTTGATGTAGCTTTTAATCTTTAATCATGGATGAATAGTGAAAGTGAATATTAACTTTTTACTATTCATTAATTTCGGTAGAGGCATGTGATTAAATGAATCAATATAAATACAAATTGGCAGCTTTTCTCAAAAGAGTTTTGATTGAAGCTAATTTGTATCTATATGGAATCCGATGCAGGAGCTAACTAGGCATATGGGTCCTGAGCATCTTGAAACTCGGGTCCATATGGATTTGGTTAACTAGTTGAACCTTCAGAAGAATGTGAACTGTCTGAATTTTCTTCTGAACTGTTGTTATCCGAATCTGACTGGGCTTGAGCTTGATTAACCAGTAGACGAGCCATCTTGAGCAGCTCATCTTTGGATGACTTGGCCTTGGACTTTACTGTGGGCTGAGCCTTAGATGATTGGGCTTTATTCTTGGACTTTAATTTAGCAGGTTTGGGCTTTGCTTTATCCTTTGATTTAATCTTTGACTTGGGCTTGGAAGAACTTGAAGATGGGCTTCCAAGGTTGATTGGAGGAAGAGGGCTTCCTTGAGTGACTGAAGCAGTTGGGTTCTGCTGAGCTTTAACCATGGCAGGTGTAGGAGCATGAATGTTAATCGGAAACTCAGATTGAACAACTTCAATAATGTGTGGAATCTTGAAGTTATCCCACCATTTAATAGTATGTTGTCGGTAAATAACATCATCAGAAATTCTATAATGTCATTTGAATATCCAAGGAATTTTGTATTTGGATATAAAAATAAGCAATTTAGGGAATTTCCGTTGCTGTGGAGTGAATGAGAAAACAGTTGAAAAATAATTAATCTGTTCAATCAGAATATCTAGGAAGATATCTGAAATGGCGCCATAATGAGTCCACCATCGCAGAAACCAAGTAGGTAATTCTGATTTGAACTTTTGATCAAATTGGATGAACCAAGAGCGACTAAAGGTTTCAGTTTGATAAAGGAAAACCTTGAATCAGACATCAATATAGTCATAATAACTATACTGAAGAGAGTGATTAGGTAACTCACGTAGCTGATAA